GGTGATAGTTATCATCTTATATCATCAATACAAGAAAATCATAAAGATAAAAGAATATCAACTTATAAAAGTTCTGATTGTACTACAAATGATCATTGTTGTTTACATTCAACTTTATCACAACCAATTCAAGCACCATCATCATCTATTTATCATCAAGTTAATCGTTTAATGTTATCTGGTAGTGAACCACCATTACCATTAGCTAATATAACAACAAATCGTCATTCAACTCCAACTTCAACATTACGTTCAGTAAAAAAAGATATTGATAATTCAAGTGCACAAACATATTCAGCTGTTTATTCATGTGACTTAGCAGCTAATTTAGATATTGATCAAGAACTTTTTCCACAATATAGATCATTGATAAGAAAAAGATCGTTTATAAAAACTAATAATCCAACTTTACTAGAAAGTCAAATTTTATTTCTTTATATGAAAAATCTTGTTGATTGTTATGCATTACAACCAAATAATCATCAACCAATTCTTCTTGCTGCAGCAGATGAAAATAGAATTCAATTATTGCATGCTCACGTAAGTTACTCACTAAAATAAACCAAAAAAGAAACGTATTATCTCTAATATAATATATTCAGATAAATTCTTCTTTTCATTCGTCTTATTTCTAAAATTATTCAAATGTATTATACTATTAGCTTCAGTTCATCTAATCTTGTTTTTTTTTCTGAATAATTAATAAGAAATGAAAATAACATTCTATTCTGTCAAGTAAACCTTTTAAAAAATCATTTAACCTACATTCTCATGCAGAAATGACTAAATGACTATTATTAAATTTAATTTAAGTCCGTAATAATTCTTTATTGCAAAATACAGGATGGAAATTTTTTATAACTTAATTATTTTGAGTCAGATCACGAACATAAGCAGATTAGATATTCTATATGAAGAGGTTTTGGTTCATTTAATTCTTGATTTAAAAAAACAAAAGAATAATTTAAATTAAAAATTTAAGAAGAAAATATTTCAATAAAATATCATATAGATAAAAAGAAAAAACATAATTTATTTTTTTGAATTATTCTAGTCCGGTAATTTTCATTCTCAACTTCCTGTATCATCTGTTGGTGCTTGTCATAGTATTTTATTTTCTTCTAATGGACAATTTCTAATTGGACTTTTTTATGAAGTAACATCAAATGTAAATCCTTATGCTGTTAAAATTTGGTCAACAGATGATTATTCAATTCGTACAAATTTACATCCAATAAAATGTTCCATAGCTGTAACATCTCGACATTCATCTATACTTTATATGGCTGGTAAACAAAAATATGGTCGAGGTATATCACTTGGTTTACTTGATATTGATTCATGTAGTCTTGCACGTGAACTTAAATCAGATCCTGATACAACAATTGGTGATGAAATAAAACGAATTATATTAACAAAAAATGAATCTTATGCACTTGTTGCTTGTACAGAATATTCAAGTACATTTGCATGTTTTGTTGTTTTTAAATTAGAAGCAAATACAATTAATAATGATGATTCATCATCATCAACATCATTAATAACAGGTTCAATGAGTAATTGTACAATGATATTAACAAGATTTGATTGTAATCCAAATTTTACATTTTCTATTGCTGATACAAATAATAGTGGTGATCAATATATGTTAACTATATTACGTACAAATGAAATTATTATTTGGCAATTAATTGATGGAGAAATTTTATTTAATTATAATTTTAATTATTTATTTAATGATAATGATACATATCAAATAGATGATTGTCAAATGAATGATAATCGTTTATTAATACATGTTCAACAAGGTTTTATTTATATTTGGGATATAACAATTCCTATAGGACAATTTTTATTTATTGCTAATATTCGTGATCCATTGGTAGGTTTAATCAAGTTTTATAGATGTTGTGGAATAGATAAAAAAAAACAAAATAATTACGGCAACATATGACATATGTAGGACATGAAAAATCTTGCGGTCAAATAAGATGCTATTTGTGACCTCATTAATAATAGTCATAAAATTTAGCTTTAATCATATAAAAGTGTTTCATATGTTTTTGAGAACAAAGGTCGTCAAGCATTATAACATAACCTGAAGAAAAGAATAATAAAACTGTTTCATTCAATAGAATTTTGTGACATTAAAAAAACAAATAGTATAAAATTCCAATAAAAGACTGATGAAACTTATTTTATGTTATTTTATTTTTTTAATATAATTTAGATTCATTCGATTCGTTGGCTTGATCATCGACATTTTCTTTCAATTGATCATGATGGTCAACGAATACGTACATGGAATATAAATCGAAAAGAAGTTCTCAATGAATTATTATCACTTCAAGGTACAATACAATCATTACATGTACATTCAATATATAATGATTTAAATAATCGAAACGAATATTTAATTGGTGGATTATCAATGAACGAACGTAGTTTAATTATGTTTGAATATAATCAATTAAATGATAATAATACTGACTCATCTAATAATAACATTGTTAATTAATCATAGAAAAAAGAACGAAACAAAAAAAAAACCTATATTTTACATTCTTTTTTTGTTTGTTTTAATTTTCGATTTTATTTGGCATATATGTCTGTGTGTAAAGACTTATGTCACACGAGTTGACATTAGATCAGATATAAACTGGTTTTGTTTTATGCGTTTTGTGTTTTCCTTCTTTTTTTTTTCTATTTTTTTTTATGAAACTTATCCATTTCAAATGAAATAAAATACATATTGACTTCGTATAAGAACAAATTAAATATAAAAAAAAAATTTAAATATGTTCATCATAAAACTCAAATATATATAGTTCAATCGAAATCTAAACCATTTTGCTACTTGAAAACAAACTTCTTATTATTATCTCGATTATCTCTTCAAAAATCTCAACAGCACTACTAGATGATAAATACATGATGAAAACATTGCAGAACAAACAGCTGATACATATGCTTACAAAGGGTTCTTCTCTATTATTTAGCTAATAAAGATTAGTTTTCTCTTTTTTTTTATCTTTCTGTTAACTATTTGACAGGCATCAAAACAAAATTCTCTTGGTCTTAACAACATTAGATATGATTAGTATCAAAAATATATGTATATAAAGAAAAATCTTACGCATGGTTATTTTATTTTGTACTGTATGTCATATTTTCATTGATTACTTTAAAAAAAAAAATGCGCAAGGTTAATTTCTTTTCACAATAGTCTCATTGGAATGAAATAATTGCATATTACTTCCTTATTTTAGATAGTAATATTCATCAAAGCATGATATTAAAAGAACAAGGTTGTTCTGGAAATAGAGCAAAAATAAATTATTTCTAATGGAACAAAAAAAAGAAAAGAATTAATTAATCTTTCTATTTCCATATAATCCTTTTGTTAATATAAAAATTTTATGAAATAGGTTTTTTCTCAGTGTAAATGCTTTTAATATATATACATTTAATGTATTATTCTATGCATACATTTCATAATAATATGAATGACAAATGAATTCAATTAAATACATATTACTTGAATGATTGTTGAACTTTTTCTTTTTTGCTATACTTTTAGTTTGACTTATTTAAATTGAAGTATTTATTTCTCTTAAGTAGATTTTTTTCTTCTTCGTCATCTGATCATTTCTTCGATACCGATCGTTCGTACATTTTTTTTTCTCGTTATAATCAATAAAATATTTTCCCTTATTCGATCGGTCATAGAATACATAATTGTGAAAAAAGAAAGAGACAAAATAGAGTAAGACCGAAATACCATCAAGGTGTAAACGGTTTACTATGTTTATAATTACTCACCTAAACTATCATGTCTCAATGTACGACACGTTATGTATTCTTCAATCTATTCATTTTTATTTTTATTAATATTTTTCTTTTGCGTATCTTATTATGTCTATATGGGTTTTTTTTCTTTGCTTATATGCACAAATACTTCGTTTACTTATAATCGTTGTCTTTCATCGAAATAATAATAGTAGCTATGCTACTAGGATTGTTGCTGTTTTTTCTCTCGTTCTCTATTGATACTAATATAATCATAAAAATGAAAGAGAAAGAGAAAGAGAAAGAGAGAGAGGGAAAAAAAGAAAAAGAGCAGAGACGATGATTGGAAGTGGAAAACAAAGCTGTATCAAGAAGATATATATTTTCATGTTTTACATTCTTCTTTTTTTTGTAGTTTTGATTTATTAATCAATGACTTCAATTGAACATTTTGATTTTGATTTACTTAATAATAGTTATTATGAAAATATAACTTCAATAATAAATATAACAAGTAATATTATTTTCTCGGATAAAAATGACTTAAATTGGCCTATATTAACATTATCAATATTAGTTGTAACGGGTACACTTGGTAATTTACTTGTATGTGTATCAATAATACTTGATAAACAATTACAAACAGTGACAAATTGGTTTCTTTTTTCATTAGCTATTGCTGATTGTTTAGTTAGTCTTATTGTTTTACCACTTTCAATTATTAAAGACTTTCAGGGTAAGAATTTTAAAACGAAAAAAAAGAAATCTTTATTTGAAAGAATACAAATTATGTTATATCTAATATATCAAATAGATATGACTAGATCTTTATTAATTGCATTTTGAAAGAAACAAATAAGTAGGCCACTTGAGATTAAATTTTTCTCGTTATTTGAATAATCGGTTTTGCATAGAGAGATAGATCAATACAGGAAACTTTCTTATTTTTAATGTTAAGTTTACATCAAAACAAGAATAATTTAACTATTAGATAAAGTCTAAACAGTTAAAATTTCATTATAACTGATAACATGAAAGCTCTTCAATAAGAAATGCCATCTTAAAATGTGTTACTTTACATTACTTTACACTAAGAACTTTTGACACGTCTTTTAATTGAATTAATAAAAGAATTTTTTTTTGTAGAATTCATCAGTGAATATCGTAGTGAATAATTCTTTGATTTTCATCATAGAAAAAAAAAAATATGTACGTATATATAGAGCTTTTCTTTTAATGCAATTTTGTCATGCGCAAAAAGTTTTCTCAAGAGATTTGATTCAATAAAAAAAAATTTTTTTTTGTTCTGCTTTAACTATTAGTATTTTCTAAATAAATGACAGAATTGTTTGAGTATACTTCAACGTAATAGAAAGAAACCCATGTCAATCATATGAATAGGTTTTAGTAAAGATAATCTTCTTAAAGTTTGTCTTTTTAGTTTTTCATCGCCTAAACTCTTTAATATTTGCTGTCAAATATTTTTTTAAAAAATCATTCTTTTTTTTGTTTAGGTTCATGGCAATTACCTATTATATTTTGTAATCTATTTGTTTTTTTTGATGTACTTTTATGTACAACGTCAATATGGCATCTAACAGTTCTTTCAATTGATCGTTTTCTTCATATATCTCGTCCATTTCGTAGTCGAGAACGAAGTAAATGTAAAACTTTTTTAGCAATACTTTTTATTTGGACTTTTTCTATTGCTATATCATGTATTATATTTATTCTTGGTTATAATGATGATAAAAATATATTAATACGAGTAAATGAACATCGACGTCATTGTGCACTTAATA